ACGCACCGCCACTGCGCACCTCTCCTGGGGTGGCTCCGGGCCACCAGCTTCGGCTCAGGGACCCTGGGATGGGGGCAGTGGTGGCAGTGGGGACAATCCCAGCCCTGGCATGGATGCCAGCCATGGGGATGGTCACCTGGCTCTGGCATGGGGGTCAGATGCCACCCATAGGGATGGCAGGGTAGAGATTGATGAGGATGAGTGGCTGTCCCTGGCATGGGTGCCACCAAAGCGATGGGTGCCTGCCCCTGGTGCAGAGGTTGGAGAGATGCCACCCATGGGGATGAGTGGCTGTCCCTGGCATGGGTGTCACCAATAGGGGCGGGTGCCCATACCTGCTGCAGAGATGCCACCAAAGAGCAGGAGTGCCTGTCCCTGGCATGGAGGCATGATGCCACCAGTGGGGATGGACACCTGTCCCCAGCATCAGTATCAGATGTCACCCATGGGTGGCCTGTCCCTGGCATGGAGGTTAGAGAGATGCCACCGATGGGGACGAGTGCTCATCCCTGGCATGGAGGTAGGATGCCAGCAACAGGGATGGACGCCCATTCCCGTCACCAGAGCTGGGTGTCACCCATGGGTGGCCTGTCCCTGGCACAGAGGTTGGAGGGATGCCAGCAACAGGGATGGACACCCGTCCCCAGGATGGGTGTCAGACACCACCCACGGGTGCCCATCCCTGGCATGGTGGCAGGATGTCACCAATGGGCATGGACACCCATCCCTGGCATGGAGGGATGCCATCCATGGGGATAACCACCTGTCCCCAGCATGGATGCCACTGCAGGGGACATGTGCCCATCCCCAGCATGGAGATGGGATGGATGCCACCAACAGGGACAGGCCCCTGTGGACACGCTGACACCACGTGGCCAACAGCAGCTTGGGTGTCCCCAAGGTGTCACCGTCCCCACTCCTCAGGAGCCTGAAGGACACCATCTCCGAGGGGGTGACATCCTGTTCCAGACCTGAGGGACCTCAGACGCTACCACCATCCAGGGAGCATCCAAAGACTGTCCCCAAACCCTAAATCTCAGGAACGGTGGCAGTGGGCTTGTCCCAGGCAAAGCCCCCTCACCCCCTCCAGATTAGGGCCATGCAGAGCTCCCCCAGGCCTTCTGCTCAGTGCTAATTGGAGGGCTAATTGGGACTAACGAGGATGCCTCCTCGAAATCCCTGTCCCTTTCCGGATGCCCACAGAGGGGGCACCTTGCACAAGGTCCCCGTGTCCCTGGAGAGCAGCCGAGCCGACGTTAACCCACCCTCCCCGGTGACCTCGGCTTCCCACCCAGTTAACGCAGTGGGGAAACATGGCTGGCATCGTTAATTCGTTAATTAATTGGGTGATTCATTAGTGCGGGGTTACACCCCCCTCCCCCCACCCCCCAGCAGCCAGTGAAATTTCCTTGAGAGATTGGGAGAAGAAAGTTCCCGGAGACGGGAGGTGTGCAGGGAACAGGGATTCATTTTCTCATTAATGACCCTCATTAGCTGCTCTTATTAATTAGTCCTTTTCCCCAACGTTGCTCTTGGAGGAGGAACCAACGTCTATTCTCAAATCGAGAGGATTTTCTTCATTAATATTCATGCTAATAGCGGAAATCCGTCCCGGGGTGCTAATTAATAATTGTCCTTGTCATGACGAGGTTATTGTGGCACATCAGGATTACAATTAACGTGTCATTAATAATCATCCCATCAATGACTGTCCTATTAATAGCAACGAGGTGGTGGGGGAGGGTAGCTGGTCCCCATAGCAAGCGGATGGGACAGGGAGGAGAAGGGACCCAGGCGTCCGAGTGATACCCTCCAATCAGGCCCATTTCCCTCCGCCTTGGACTGGGAGAGCATTGCGAGTGGTGGGGTAACTGGGACCAGTTTGGCCCTTCCCACCAGTCCTGGGGGCTGGTGGAGGAGGCTGGAAACAGGCACCGATACTCCCCCCCCCTCCAAAATCCCCCCCAAATCTGGACCTCCCCCGTCTCCCT